CAATGAACAATTTAAACATAGAATGTCCTCCCAATATACCTCAAAAGTCATCAGGACAGATGGAGAAATGCCACACTATTGTATACAGTATACGCTTGGTCAGTATGTGTTTTTTGTTTCTTGTGTAGGTGTAACAACCCTCCACATGTCAAAACACTCAAAACTTAAATTAAAACAAAGTAGCAAACACTGGACTACTGCCCGTCACCGGCAATAAAGTGTTAACATTTCTATTCATTTTGCTTCTGTTCTTTCAAGTGTGTAGATTTTTCAGTTGCTTGTACTGTTACAGTTGTTCTTCTATATGAGCTATTCAAAAACTTCAAATTTGTCATAATTTGTTTGTGAATTGAAATGTTAATTAGTTACATATTTTAATCCTGGACTGTTATTGTGTCTTGAATTGAAGAAACCAAATGTAATGTTTTTACTGTACATATATTACATTTTGCAATCCATTAAACAGCTGCAGGGGGTGTGAGGCCTCTAAAAAAGAACCCCTGGTCTAAGAGATCAACACAGAAAACAAAAAGCAGAAATACAGCACTTCATTCAGCAATAATAAATAACAAGGACTAGTTACATAGAAGGAGTACAGTGAAATTCAAGAAAAATTTAAGACTTGGAATTTCTTTATTCACTTCAGATGGCAAGGAATGTGTTGCGGGTCAGTATTAGAAAGGATTGTAATAGCAGGGACTTGCTATTAGAGGGTGTCAAAGGCCTCTGATATTTATATATAGACATATAAGGTGGTACAGTACTGTATACCGAAGAAGGCTTCACAGCCGAAATGTTGCATTTTCTCTCTTCTCTTTTCAGCATGGAATAAACCTATTACTTGTTCCATTACTGTACACCCTCACTTTACTGGACTAAAAGGGTGGAAGGGATGTCCTGTATTGTCTGCTGTCCATTAAATTACCAATGTGATATTTCAAGTAAAAAAAAAACACACTCGTCCATGCATTGATTTTCTAATAACTTCTTCCACTTCAGCTTCAAAGAAGCAACAGCTGGAAGGCAGAGTACACCCTGGACAGGATGCCTATAAAACACATTCATATATGAACATATATATACTGTATATTGTATATACAGTATGCATACTGAATATGTATATATGTGACTGTACTGTATTCAAAAATAATACAGTATACTGATATGGTTATTGGGAAGTGTCATAATATTGAGGTGTCATAATCTAAGGGACAATAGTTAATACCTGGCTAATGTCAACATTTCCAGTGGGGGGGTTGAGCTTCAAAGTAAGGAGATGTTTACTGAGATGTACATAGGTGTCTGAGATTCACTGATCAAAGCAATTGTAACATTTACCTTGGTCTACCTTAGTTAATTAAGTTCTGGGCAAATCATTAAACATTATCAACAGGCTAGGAACACAGTTTTATGTTGTACAAGCAGGTACAGAGACAGAAGAAAGGAGAAAAAGGGAGACATAAGAGAGAAAGGAAATTAATACAGAAAACAAGAGGTCCTTGTCCAGATCACCCATAAAAAACAGACTGGAGTTAAATATGTGAACTTTGTAAGAGAGCTTGTCATTCTTTGGTTTTTAAGAAACTGATTTCCTGTATAGACAAGCCCTTGGTTAAAATGGCATCTCCTGGTAAGTGGATGCATTTCTAGAATAGGGTGGTTCCCACTCATTTTGTAGCATCCGGGTTTATATAGAAAGATTTAACTCTAACTTGTTTTCTGTTCAGTTT